GAGAGAGAGAGAGAGAGAGAGAGATGGAGGGGGTGATTGGAAAATGGCAGATAAATGGAGGAGTGAGAGAAGGAATGGGGAGACACGTGCTTGCATCCTGTTCGCTGTGAGGTGCTGGGCGAGGGAAGGAGGGTGATTCCGTGCATTCTCAGTGTGTTTTGAAGCAGGCTCCACCTCGGAGAAGAGGAGCCCTGTGAAGAGGGAGCGGTCCTCCTCTCACGACTCGGCGTCCTCCTCCCTGTCCTCCAAAGCGTCCAGTAAGTCTCCATGTGGGTTCTGGGCATGATGGGCAGTCTTTGATTTCAGAGAATGGGAGGAAACATCAAGGGCCATTGGCTGACACCTTGCTCCAATCAGAACTGGGAAGGGGAGGCCGTCAGGGGAGAGTGAGCTCTTCAGGGGAGAATGGAGTGAACCTGGGATCTGAGACCTTGAAGTCTCCTAACTGCAAGGTCCAGCTGCTCCTGTGACTGTGGCCTGAGTCCTGGACTTGTGAGGACGTGTCCTGGGGTGGCCTCTATGCATCTGTTGACCTGGGCAGTCCCTATCCAGGAGTGTGAGCTGGGGTGAGGGATTCTCGTCCAGCGAAGCAGATTCCGGACACTTCTCGGGAGAAACAGCAGCCAGCAAGGAGAGCTCACAACCCAGACGGCGCAGGGAGGAGGGAACAGGATTAAGAGCCTCATGGGGACTCTGCCTGGGGGATCCCTTGGCCTCCAGGAGCAGCCAGGACCTATGGACCCACCAAAAGCATTTATCAAACCAGGGCTTCCAATATAATCTGAATTTGAATGTTGAAAGACAAATTCGATGTGGACTGTGCCCTCAATAAATTCGTCTTTCCTCAAAACCAGGTTACACGGCAGTATTTTAACCCTTTACTTCCTAAGCAGATAGTCACCCACATGACATGACATGGGTATGTGCACAAGGACGTAATTAACTGTGTCCTAGATGGTAGTGACTTAGGGCGAGTTGTGTTCACCACAGTTTGAGAGCAGCTGACCCATGGAGGAGAGAGCGTTCCCAGCGTGGAGGTCTCTCTGGGCTGAGGGGCTCAGGGTGTGGGTGTGCAGTCTGGGTGCAGGCAGGGGTCCAGCGGCAGCAGCCTGGGGTAATGGGGCCTGGCTGAGGTATGAGGGTTCTGAGGAACCAGTGAGTGGTCTGGGGCTGGGAAGAACTCAGAGCCCAGCAGGAGATTTGGCTGGGGAGCATCTTTTGGTTTCTTCCTTTGCTTCAGGCAGCCCACAGTCACCGAGCAGGGTGGGCTGCCGTCTCCTTCCATGGGGCCTGGACGCAGCCTCCTGGGCTTCAGCCTGGCACTCTGCCCGAAGGAGGCTCTGATTCGCAGGTTGGTCCTGAAAGCCAAATGCTGCAGCCACTGCCGTCCTTTTGCCCAAGGCAGCACAGGAGGCCAGTGGAGAAGCAGGAGGGCCAGTGGGTGTGGCACAAGTTCGTCCCTGGGAGGGTGCTGACCAGGTTCGTCTCTCCCCAGGCTCAGCACTCTGCAGCGAGACCTCAGCTCAGGTGTCTGGGCCCCCGCAGGGAGATCAGGCCAGATCACCCCCGCCCTGTGGCCCCGCAGAGGAGGCCAGGGCCGCGGGGGAGAAGCTGTGGCTCCGAACAAGTCAGGGTCCACCGATGGGCATCAGCAGGCAGGGCCCTGGACACCCCCCACCGCCAGACTGTGGCCTCAGGACCAGCCAGAGGGGCCTGCAGGTGTCGGTCACAGCTTCTTCCCAGCTGCCCTCCTTGGGCTCCACCTCCATGTCCACGGCACCGGCCACTGGCACGCTCGTCCTGCAGGCCTCACAGTGCTCCGTGACCAAGGCCTGTCGGCAGCCGCCCACCGTCTTCCTGCCCAAGCTGGTGTACGACGTGCTCGTGTCCACCGACAGCAGCGGGCTGCCCAAGGCCGCCTCCCTCCTGCCCGCACCCTCAGTCATGTGGACCAGCTCCTTCCGGCCCCTGCTCAGCAAGACCATGACGTCCACAGAGCAGTCCCTCTACTATCGGCAGTGGACGGTCCCCCGGCCCAGCCACATGGATTATGGCAACAGGGCCGAAGGCCGCGTGGACAGCTTCCACCCTCGCAGGCTGCTGCTCAGCGGACCCCCTCAGGTGTGTGCTGAGCCCTCTGTCCTCTTGCCTGGCCCTGAAGTCTGGTGGTCCTTGTGGTCAGAAGCCAAAGGTCAGGCTGACCATATTCTCTTTTCCATTTTTGTTGCTCCCCTGGGGGACTCGTCCGTGATGGCCTGGCGTGGGCAGTGAGTGGAGCAGGACTCACCCACCACAGCTAGGCTACTTCCATGTCTGACTTCCATCTCCTCCACTGTGTGTTGTGGGGCCAGAGGGGACGTCACTGTGGGTGCTTCTCGCCATCTCAGACTAGGGTTACCTCCCACCCTATCACACCTGGCCCTCAGGGCCACTGTGCAGTCTCCACGTCACCCAGCTACTGGAAACTGCCTGGTTCTGCACAGGGAGACTGTGGTGAACAGTGAATGGAGGTGGTTTAATAAGTATCTGGGGCTTTGATCCTTTTCTCAGCCCTCGTCCAGCTCACGACATCCCCCGCAGGCAGTTTAACCTGTGGGAGCTGCAGAAAGCTCCCAGGCAGGCCTGTCCAGCATGGTGGGTATCGGAGGGAGAGGGCTTAGACCAGGATGGGCTCATGGGAGGTGGATCCGGGGCTGGACTGCCTGGAGCCACATTCTCTTCAAATGTCTCCAGACAGGAAGGCAAATTTTAACCTCCGCTGTGCCTCAACGTCCGAATTTGAGAATGACAGGTATAATGGTGTCTCACAGAGATGTGAGAAGCCAATGGAGAGCAGATGTAGGACACCTGGCGTGTGGCCTGACTTGCAGACAGCGTGCCATGCGTAGTGCGGCCATTGACAGTACAAGCTGAGCTCACACAGGAGCCTTCTGACTTAGCACATCATGTTCAGGAACCATCCAAGAAATACAAACCCACCAAAGTGTGTATCAGCATGCTCATTTTAGCATTGTTTACAAAGGTGAGAATGAAGCTAGGAACAAACCCACCGGCTGAGTCTTGGTGGAATAAATCTGGGGACAACTGTATCATAGAATTCAATTGCAAAAATCTGAGAGAGATCACTAAAATTTCTCCAACATATTTAAATTAAAATCAATTTGCAGAATGACATATATGGTGTAATATCAGCAAACAAATCTATATATGAAAATGCTTTAAAAAATATCTGAGAGGCTGGCTGCTACTAACTCATTACCTGGAGAGGGATTTGTAACATTCCACTTTATTATCAATCTACATTTTTTGACTGTTTAAAATGACCATATATGACATGACTTCTCTAGTTTAAAAAAAATGGGAGAAAAGAAAATGTTTCCTAAAAGGGAGACTCTCCACTTATCCACAGCCATATGTGCTGGAGGTCGTGTATCTTTAGAACTCTTGCCATCGGGTAGGTGAGAAGTAGTAGGTGATAGTGCTTTCTGAAAGGTGGAATGCAATTTTTTATATCCCTTGGTCATTGGTGCTTCTTCCCCATGATTTTTGCTTGTTACTCTTGCATGTTGGTCCTTTGGACAGCTGGACCTTTTCCTGTTGATTGTAGGGGCTCTGCAGATGTTACACACTTCCATCTTTTGTCTGTTATATGTGTTGCAAATATTTTCTCTGGAGCTCCCCCCAATGGTACGTTGAATTTTCATTGTTAAAGCTAGTTATTTCCATTCAATGGCACTTGCTGAGTTCTTGCTCTGAGCCAGGCTTTGGGTTCAGTACTAGAAGAGCACACCCTGGGGTGATTGTGTGGTGGGCATGCAGAGGGACCTTGGCCAACCTGCAGGCAGCTCTTTAATCAGTTGTAACCAAAATGTACTAAGATTACTAGTGAGTGCCCTAGTCGGGTGCATGGCCAAAGGAGCAGGGGGCTCTAGCAAAAATGAAAAGGATGAAAAGAGATGTCATGTTTCCTTTTCCAGAGTTTAGGAGACATTAGATGTCAATTTCTGTTCTGTGAAGTAGATTGTGATATCTTACACTCCTGGGAACAGGAATTCGCAATTGTGCAAGATTCTTTTAAGACACTGTGTTTTACATGACCAGTTCCTATTTTTTGGAAGCACTTTCTTCAGCTTGTAAAAGACTCCCCTTAGAAATGGGTCTGGTTACCAGGTGAGGTGGCACACACCTGTAATCCCAGAGGCTTGGGAGGCTGAAGTAGGAGGATTGCAAGTTCAAGGCCAGCCTCAGTAATTTAGCGAGATCCTGTCTCAAAATAAAAAAAATAAAAAGGGCTGGGTTACTCACCACATTGCCCCTCAAATGCCTGGTGTCCATGGAGCTCTCCTTTCAGTGAGACGGGTGGTGCCCGGCGTGGACAGGCTTCCTGTCTGTGGGCTCTGACGTCAGCGTCTTTGCAGATCGGGAAGACGGGCGCCTACCTGCAGTTTCTCAGCATTTTGTCCAGGATGCTCATTCGGCTGACAGAAGTGGATGTTTATGATGAAGAAGAGATCAACACCAGTGAGTTGTCCATCACGAACGTCAGTGTCCCTGGTGACTGTGTCCCAGTTTCAGGATGGAGCTCTCGGGTCATGACTTGGCTCATCCTGACGGGCTCTTGGGCACTCTCTACCTTTCTCGGTACTCATTCTTCTCGGTATCAGAACAGTGCCTTGGAGAACTTTGTAGGGATAAAATCACTAATGCTGAAGGAACGGGTGCCTCCCAGGTTCCTTCCAGTGCCAAGCACCATGCTAGGTACATCAGTCACCATGAACGACACCATGGGGTAGATACTGTCCTCTCATTTCCCACGAGTGAGATGCTGGGGCGTCCAGTAGGGACTGGCAGAGCAGGAACTGGACTGCATGTGACTGAGGCCTGCAGGAAACAGCCTTCTCCCTCAGGGAGGTTTCCGAGTCAGGCAGCTGAACGCAAAGGTCAGCATCTCAGGGCAAAACAAAGATACATGGAGCGTGGGGAGACCTTGCTCTCCTTGCTTCCTGAGCAGGCCTGGCCGAGTGAGGGAAGAGTCCCTGCACAGCCCTTCTGAGCTGGCTGGGACGCACGTCCCCGTCTCCCTCTTCTGGCCCCTGGCGTTGGCCTGGGAGACGATTTGGCACCTTTGTGCAAGGGCCCTGTCTGTGGCGGGGGCCACAGTGGCTGCCCACGGATGCTCTCCACAGCACTTGATTTTGACTTGGGGGAAACGTGGAAAGGAGGAAGCCCATCCAGTACATGGCCTTCCTGTGAAGGACGGGGAATTTCTGCAGTTTCCCCAAGGTTGGGGACTGTGTTTCTGTGGAGCTTCTGTCCCCTCACTTTCTTGGGTCTACCAATAATAAGGACAGGATTTTGAACCCACTTCGTCAAACCTCAAAGCTCATTCTCCTAGATATTCTCCATTGCCTCTGTTCTCTCTGTGGAATAGAGATGATTCCCGTTTCACTGGGTGCTGAGAAGGTCAAGTGCGTGTGTGAAGGGCTCGGCAATGTTAAATAACAGGGAGCTCCTCCCCTGGCTTCTCATGGCGTGTTCTCTGCCCACGTGTAGCACCTCGCAGGGCATACGCACACACAGAAATCAAAGTATATGAGCGTCTGCGTACCATGCATATCACGTAATGTAGAATGTCAGTGTGTCACCTAGTTTGAGTTAGACAACTAGACATTTTTCTTGTAGCTAGCAAAACAATGAGTCCCACAGACTGTGCCAGGCACAGTGACAGATGCTGCTGGCGAAGGTGCAAATGTGCTTGGGGCCACAAGTGTTGCTGGCATCAGAGGGCGACCAGTGGCTCAAGCACTTTCTAGAGGTGGGGTGAAGGAGCTGAGCCCTGTTGGCTGGGGGATTGACACAGGTAGAAGCAAGAAAGGAAACCCAACAGTCCATGGTGCTGGGAGCCAGAACAGTCTATGAGGCCAGGAGAGGCGTGGGGCAGGGTCAGGTCAGCTGGGTCAGGACTCTGGGAGGAGGTGGAGTCAGTGTGAGAGACGGAGAGCAGGCCTGTCTCCTCGGAAGGAGTGCACGGCTGGCTGTTCCTCTGGATGCAGGTAGATCTGAATGCATGTAGATCTGAATGCATGTTTGTGCCTCATTAGATCCACCCCCAAACGGATCTTTTGGAAGCCCTTGAGGTAGAAGAGGTTCCCCAGTGACCCAAAAGTTAATAACACTTCTGCTCCAAGCATCGTTCTTATGCACAAAGTGAGTCCTTTTCCCTCCAGTTTCGTGCACATGGTGTTTTGACCCATCCTGCAGGCCTCCGAGAAGAATCGGATTGGCATTACCTCCAACTCAGTGACCCCTGGCCGGACCTGGAGCTGTTCCAGAAGATGCCATTTGACTACATCATTCATGATCCCAAGTATGAGGATGCCAGTCTGATCTGTGCCCACCATCAGAGCATCAAGAGTGAAGGTCAGACTTTGGATCTCTTGCTTCAGCTTCTTCTAGAGTGGGTGGGTGTCGTCTCCTCTGTGTCACCATAATGCAGCTGGGCCACGCCTCTTGTTAGAGGTGAAGAGTCGTGGTGAGTGACCCACAAAAACCCCATTCAGAACGGAGAAGGCCACCCACCTGTAGGATGAGGGCACCACCACAGAGCTCATCACCCCGGAGCTCACAGAGGGAGACTCACGGCTTAGGGGGTGCCAAATGGCAGTGGGCTGTCTTGCTGATTTGTCATGGCCGGGGTGCTCTGCAGGCGCTGGTTGGAGCAGGATGAAAGCCGTGGGCATCTACTTACGAATTTGGCATTGTCGCAGCCAAATGGGCGCACGTGTTTCCCCTCCTGCCCCAGCCTCTCACTTTCCCCCTCCTTCTTGGGCATCAGTGACTTCAACAGTGGGTCAAGGCGGTGTCAGTCAACGTGGTCGTCCTGGGCCAATGGGCCTGGGAGCGTAGACCAGGAGAGCCTGGTACGGTCACCCCAGAGAATGCACACCTGCCTCTGCTGCAGCCAGCCATCTTCCCTTCGTTGAGCTCAGAATAGATAAGAGTCCTCTCTTTAGAGCAGTTTCTCATGAAGGTTTAGTGCTCAGACCTGAATCCTGCCACCTCATTTGGGAAAAGGAAAAAAAAAAGTAGTTCATTGGCACCGATGGCATTCCAGCATTTGCCTATAGTTTGGTGATTGATTTAAAACGTCCTGTGGACCAGCTAAGACATGGTCTGAGCTCCTGTTAGACTCTCCACTGAGGTGTTGTGTTGTCCCTGGCTTGGCTGCGTCACCTCGGGGCTCATGGACCTCGCAGAGCCCTGTCACTGCCGCTCATTGTGAGGGACCTCTCAGTGCGAGGTTCAGCGCACGGGGATGACCATTCGTTCCACCTGCTGCTGCTCCTTAACACTGGGGGAATTTCCTGCAGACAGGGGCATCTCCCGGAAGCCCGAGGACCTTTACGTGCGGCGTCAGACGGCGCGGATGAGGCTGTCCAAGTACGCGGCCTACAACACGTACCACCACTGTGAGCAGTGCCACCAGTACATGGGCTTCCACCCCCGCTACCAGGTAGGCCAGGGGCGCCGGCCCTCGGCTCAGTCGGCCCACAGTGGCTCCCGGGGTGTCTCCTCGGCTTAGTCTTGTGTTCCCTATTTTTCTCACATTTTCATCCCAAGGTGGGAGAGGAAGGTTCTAGAAGCCCCTGCTTCCTGCTCTGTGCCTGCCCTCGATTCCTTCCTCGGCTGGGAAATGATGGCTGACCACAGCCCTCTCCCGAGGCTGCGAGTGCAGTGTCATGCTCTCTCTGGGTGTCATCCTCGCCTTCGGGTCCTAGAGATTCCAAAAGTTAGTTGGTGCCATTGTCACTCACTGAGTGCTTACTGTGGCCCAGGCCCTGGTACAGACATGGACAGACAGTCCCCATCCATGGGGCTCACAGCCCGAGGAAGAGACGCCTGTGAGGGATTTCACACAGCCTGGTGCAGGCAGGGAGAGCTGTGGGTGAGGCGCAGAGGGCGCGCAGCTGGCAAGGCAGGGCGCGCTGTGCAGGATGGAAGGCCTGCCCCACACCAGGCAGCATGCCGGGGCGGTCCTCACCTGTCAGTCCTTCCTGGCCTTCTTACAGGCAGAAGACATTTGTCCTGGATGCACAAACGGGCAAGGCTGCTGGCCCAGGCTCTGGCTGGTTACCTGGCTGGTCACTGGGGGTTTCTGTTCCAGCCACACTGACCATCCATTCAAGTGCACTGGCTAGGAAACTGTCTTTTCCAGTTTCCTACTAAATTCTCACCAAAAGCTCACTGCCCTTGTTTTGTAAATGAAGGTTCAGGTTGAGCTTCCTGATCTGAAGATGCCAACTCTGAAATGCCCTGAAATCTGAACGTTTTGGAGCATCGACATAGTGCTCAAAAAAAACTATGGATTTCAGAGCGTTTGGATTTCAGATTAGGGCTGCTCAACTGGTAAAGTCAGTACCAATATTCACAAATCTAAAAACTCCTAAACCTGAAACACCTCTGGTCCCGAGTGCTTCAGGTAAGGTAGATGCAACCTCTATTTCCCGTGGGGAGCAGAGAGAGGATTTTGGAGCACGAGTGGAACTTGATGAGGAGAAGGAATAGTGTGTACAAAAAAGGGGTGCCAGGGGCCCCTGGGGGCCAAGAAGTGAGCTTGGTTGGGTGTTGTTGGAGATAGATTACTGGGGGGGGGGTCTTAGGACAGGAGCCAGGAGCCTGGGGCAGAGACCAGGCCACAGATGGCCTCGTGCACTGGGAGAGGAACGTGGGTGTCTTCAGCAATAACTCTAAGAAGGGCCCCCGTGGGCGAGGCTGGGTCTAGGCTGGACTCTTACTAGCCACATGAGGTCTGCAGCGGGCTGGGAGGCTAGGCGAACGTAAGCAGATGGTCGTATTTACCTTCTATACTGAAGTGTCTCTTTTCATTTCAGGCCCAAGTGAGGGAAAGAGGGTAGGAAGGAAAAGGCCAGAGCTGTGGGAACCAGTGGGTAAGGGGACAGGTTCCAAAGGCCAGTGGGATAGTTGATGTCCTTGGCGGCCCCCAGGAAGAGGGACACAGCAGCCGGTGGCTTTACATCTGTCTGCCTGGTGTTGAGCTAGCTGCCCGTGAAGCTCACCCCCCTGCTTTGATGCTCATGTATTTAAGTGTGCACTTGTACTGAGATGAAAGCAGAAAGTATGTAGGAGCGATTTTTTTTTTAAAGGATTGAAATAATCCGTAATTTAATTTGCTCCAGGTAAACTCTTCTAACATTTGTTTCTTGGAGATGAAGTTTTTATTTCAAAGAAGAAAAACAAAAAATGTGATGTGTTTTCTTGATTTTGAAATTTAAAGCACTGAAAAGGACTCATGGGGTTTATCCCCAAATAGTAATTTCAATAAGTTTCAACAGGGAACTGTTACTTAAAGTCTTCCTCCTGCTCCCGGACGGTATTAGTAGCAGCCCAGGGCACAGGAGAGGAAGGAGAGTCATCTTCTGTCTGCTAGCCGGGCCACTCCTGGCCCGAGTTCAGCCAGGTGTGCAGGTCTGGGGGTCACAGTCCAAGTGCAGCAGGTGTGGGGTGGCGAGGGGGCTTGAAGCCAGCCCTGTGAACGGTGCGGAGGCAATGCCATCTCCTGCGTCCGTTTCCATGTCCCCGGCCCTCTGCTCCTCGGTCCTCCTTCCACCACCCGACGTTCCCCTGTGCTTTGAATGAAACTGACTTACTCACATAATTCTTTATCTGTCCACCCACCACACTGCCCTGGGCAGAATCTCTTTTTCTCTCCTTTTTCCCCCCCTCTTTATCTGGGGATTGAACACAGAGGCACTTTATCACTAAGCCCCGTTTCCCCAGCCATTCCTATTTTTTATTTTGAAAGAGGGTCTCACTAAGTTGCTTAGGGCCTCACTAGGTTGCTGAGCAGGCCTCAAACTTGTGATCATCCTGGATCAGCCTCCCAAGTTGCTGGTATTGCAGGTGTGCACCTGGTTATAATCTCTTGCTCCTTCATATTTGTTCCCAACTGGCTCTGTGGCTCTAGTAGATCCTGGCAGGAGTGCGGAGCGGTGTGTCCTGGGCCACTGCCTTCTTCTCCAGCCCCTGGAGTGTGTCAGCTAGGAGAGCTGAGGCCACAGGACGGTCTCCTAGGGCTGCGACAGCCAAGGGCAAAGCCAGGCTGGGGGCTTGTACTAGAAAGTAGCATGTGCCTGGATAGGGGGTGTGGGGCATGGCTGGGGGGCGCTGGAGGAAGTAAGGAGGGTGAGGCTAGACTCAGGAACAGGATGAGCCCTGAACGTCAGTGTCTATGTCACTATGTCCATGGCAACACACCTGCCTCCTAAGATTGTCAACATTACAATGAGAAGGGGACAGAATGGCACTGATGAATGCTGGCTGAAGTGGACAAGCCCATGTGGTGAATGTGGTCTTACATGTGCCTGTAGTGGAACTATTTTAGAATTGAAAACGAGATCCAGAGTGTGAATGCTGTCATTGGCAATCCAGATGGGGCTCTTGGTCAAGTCCAGAGTTCAGGGATTTGGTGCCAAAGGTGGCAGGCCTGGGCTCAGCACCATCAGGGCAGGACAGGGCTGCTGTGTGGCCTGGGGTGTGCCTGTCCAGGAGCCAGCCCTGGGTGTCCACCCTTTGTGCTGGAGCCATCCTGTGGGTTTCTTGCACCGCGGGGCAGAGGTGGCCGGGACCTGTGTGTTGTCTGGCCAGGCTGGGCCTGGGTTCCTGTGGGAAGTGAGCCCGACTCTGATGACAGGCTCTGTCCTTTCCCCTCGCACCTCAGCTCTATGAGTCCACCCTGCACGCCTTTGCCTTCTCTTACTCCATGCTAGGAGAGGAGATCCAGCTGCACTTCATCATCCCCAAGTCCAAGGAACACCACTTTGTCTTCAGCCAACCCGGAGGCCAGCTGGAGAGCATGCGCCTTCCCCTCGTCACAGACAAGGTACCGCCTCTGAGTTCCATGGGCACATCAAAGTGGCTTCCGGCGACCACTAAGCTGGGGACCTAGACGAGCTCTCTGATGTGAGGGCACGTAGTGCAGAAGCAACATGGCGCCTGAATCTGGAGGAGGCTGGTGCAGTGCGTGGGCTTTGGAGCCTCTTGACCACTGACTGGTAGTGTGATTCACCACTCGTCCCTTAGTGTCTCTGAGCCTCAGTTTCCTCACCTGCAAAGCTGGGTGGTGATTCTTGAGAAAGCTTGTTGTGAGAATTATCTGAAATAACAAATGTAAGACACGTCCCACCTGGGAGATGACAGGTGCCTGTGAGGTGTCGTTCCCTCCTCTCTTTTCTTCAGTGCTGATTTGGGATGTTTGAACAGGCTCCCGTAGAGAAAACAGGAGAACGGATTCCGTCGGCCCATCACCCAGTTTCCATATTAACTAACTTGGAGCTGGCCAGGTTTTATCTGTCTGCTCTCTGCTCTCCCTCTCTGTGCCAGTTGGTACATATCATAGCACTTCATCCTAAGCACTCAGGGCACGTCTCCAACAAATACGTCTTTATCTTGGGAAGAGATTGTTCTTAATGATCCCTTGGGCCTGTGACTACGGTTCCCCTTAACAGACATGCTCCTTGTAGGGCCCGTGGCTTGGCAGGTCTAGCCCGATGGCCTCAGAATTGACTGGCTGCTCTTTGCCCGCCCGTCAACATGTACCTGTGGAGGAGGCTGCTCTCCTCCAATGTCAGACAGCCGCCAAGCCTGCCACCAAGCAAAGCAAACATTGCAAAGTGTCAAAACTTTGGGATCAGGTGTCTTACAGCCCAAGGGAGAATTCATCCGTGACTCCAGTCTCTTTTCCAGCCTCTGGGTCAGAATGGGCTGTGAGCACCAACTATATGCAGCTTTGTAGCAGATGCCCCGAGGAATTCAGAGGTGGCAGAAGCCCTAGCTCAGCCCAAGGACAAAATTAAGGACAAAAGTTGAAGAGAGCACAGTTATTTACAGAAAACACATCCCAACAGGAATGTATGCACACCTGGGCATCGTGGGCAGGCGACTGGGGGATGTCCTACACTCACTGTGGAGTTGAGGCCACACAGAAGTGATATCTGCTCAGAGTACAGCATTAGATTGTGACATAGAGGGGATTGCATTTGGCTCATTGATGTGGGCCAGTTAGTTTCAGTGACACAACAAGCCATTCTCAGATGAAGATGTATTCAGCATCTGATTCCAGCAGTTTGGGTGAGGTTCAGCTGGACGGTCACTCTGGGCTTGGTTGTGCTCACTGTGTGTGTATATTGGCTGTTGGATGGACTGGTGGCTGGTGGGAGGCCTGCTGGTCTGGGGTGGGCTCAGCTGGGATGCCTGTCTCTGCTCCATGTTTTCTCTCATCCCCCAGGAGGCTGGCCCAGGCCAGTCCAGGGGAAGGTCCTAAAATCAAGCTGCACTTGCAGTCGAAGAGTGTGGAAATCAACTCCATCTTCCCAGGGGCCCTGTTGAGAAGTCACATTGCAAAGGAGGGTGTCAGTCACATTTGCACTCTATCTCATTATACCTATCTGCAGAGTCACGAATATATAAAAAGCCCGACGTTCACTCCAACCACTGGCCGACATGAACACGGACTCTTTAATCTCTACCACGCGATGGATGGCGCCAGCCACTTGCACGTGCTGGTGGTCAAGGAGTACGAAATGGCCATCTATAAGAAGTACTGGCCCAACCACATCATGCTTGTGCTCCCGAGCATCTTCAACAGCGCTGGAGTGGGTGGGTGTTTTTAACAGACGCCGCTTGGTAAATTTTCCATGAATGGAGATGAGAGAATATTCTAGAGATGAAAGAGTTTACATCCAGTCTTTTGCTTTTGCAGTTCTTAAAGCTATTTTGATTTGTTTGACTTTCCTATGAATATTCTCTTTAAAAAAAAAAAGTTTGATTGTTGACTTAGTAATTTTCCCAGTTGTTACAAAAGAAGGGCAGATGCGGATACAAATTGGAGACAGGCTCTCACCTCCCCTGGGCGGTGGGCGGTGGAGGAGGGATGTGTGTGGATGTGTGGGGCTGGCGTGTCTCGGGTAGGGTTTGCACAGGGCGCCTGTGAGTCCATGACAGCCCTGAGCCAGGCCATTTTGTCACTCCAGGTGCTGCCCATTTCCTAATCAAGGAGCTGTCCTACCATAACCTGGAGTTGGAGCGGAACCGGCAAGAGGAGCTTGGGATCAAGCCGCAGGACATCTGGCCTTTCATTGTGATCTCAGACGACTCCTGCGTGATGTGGAACGTGGTGGACGTGGACTGTGCGGGGGAGCGGAGCAGGTGAGTGGCCTGTGGGCCCTCCTCCCTCCACCCGTAGACACCAGGCAGGAGCATGCTCTCTTGTGACAGGGGATCCCCTTGTCTGAGAGGACCACAAAGTCCCCTCACATGGCAAGGCCAGAGCCCACATTCCAAGCCCAAGCTTGCTTTTAAGTTTTAACACTGTCAAGGTTTAATACAGGAAATCATACACCACAGATCCAGTCATTCATAGGGACACATAGAGGAAAGTGTATTAGGTACATAGGAAATTTCACAAGCTGACCGTATCCATCTCGCCAACTCCCTTCAGCCCCCAGAGGGCCCTGCCCTGCTGCCCTCCAGCCCTGCCCATCCCCCTAGCCTGACCTCTAACTCCTGGCTTTATCTGGACTTGCTGGGCAACTTTAGGCAAATGGCTAACTCTTCCTGAGTTCTGGTTTCCTGGTCTTTGAGGTGTGTTAGTACCTGGACTAGAGTCGTGAGTGTGACTGGATTACGGTCTGTCAGCTTATTCTGCACATGGCATACGCGTGCATTTTGCACAAAGCAGTGATCGTAAATGGCAGTGGTTGGCAGGTGTCTGGCATCCCTGGGGGTCGTGCTGGGTTCCGTCCTCACCGGCCAGTCCAGCAGCTCCTGCTCAGTTGGCCAGCGTCCTCTGGCTGGTCTGTGGGGGAGGCCTTGTTGCTGCCGGCCTATCAGCCGGGGTCACCGTCTCCCTCCCTTGAGCAGGGAGTTTTCCTGGTCAGAGAGGAACGTCTCCTTGAAGCACATCATGCAGCACATCGAGGCCTCCCCCAACATCACCCGCTACGCCCTGCTGGGCATGCGCAAGTGGGCCAGCAAGACGAGGGGCGGCGAGGTGCGGGAGCCTTTCTCCCGCTGCCATGTGCACGATTTCATCATCCTGAACGTGGACCTGACCCAGAACGTGCAGTACAACCAGAACCGGTGAGCTCCCAAGCCCTGGAGTCCTGAGCAAGGGGCAGCCTCAGGCAGGCCTGGCCGGCGCTCCCTCCCCTCTGCCCTGCAGGGCCAGCTGAAGCGGAGCGCGGGTCTGTGGTGTTTAGTGCTGAATGAGTTTGTGTATTTTCATAAAGTCACCGCACCAATTCACAGAATGCTTTAGTGAGTTACGCCATTCCCCCTTGTTTGGGTTCTCTCTCTGAATGCATAGCTTTTTAGGATCATTAATGTTAAAAGAAACTATAATCTTCCAGGTCTCTCTACATCTAGTCACAGGAGTGTCACCTCTTGAGAATAATTCACCAGCAGGTGTGTGTCAAGTGTCTCTGTATGCCAGACAGTGGTCACATGCCCAACGTGGCCTGCTTAGGCGTGTCCATTTAGGAGCCAGCCTGACCCACCTGTTAGAACCTGCTACCTAGCAGCTTTGTCTTAGGCAGGTGACCTCTCTCTGAGCCTATTACCTTGGCTACAGGAAGCGGCTACCATTGTGACTCTGGGAGGTTTGTGGTTGTTTTATTTTCAACAATTACGTGGAATCACATCTGAAGCTTTTCCTGTGCCTCCTGATACTCAGCCCAAGGGCACCCACGGGTTGAAGCCTCGGCTGGTGCAGAGAGGTGCCTGCCTGGCCTTGTATCCTCCTAGATTAAGGTCGAGGCAGGAACGAAAGCCACTGCACCTCTATAGCCCCCAGGACAGGGTCCTGCTCCAGATCTCCAGGTGTTGGGGGCCACGTGAGCTGTGCCCCATCGGATCTGCTCCTCCTCAGGTTCACGTGTGACGATGTGGACTTCAACCTGCGGGTGCACAGCGCCGGCCTCCTGCTCTGCAGGTTCAACCGCTTCAGCGTCATGAAGAAGCAGATCGCGGTGGGTGGACACAGGTCCTTCCACATCACCTCCAAGGTGAGCGTGGCCACGGTGTCCAGCAGGCTGTGTAGGTCTGCCCCCCGGGCTGCCACAGTGTGAAGGCTGAGGGCGGGACTGTTGGGGCCTGCCTCGGTCACCACCAGGCAGTGTCAGCAAAGATGACAAGATGGCACCCGGGAAGTTGCTCTTCTCTCCAGCTCTAACCAGCATCCTGTAAGCCACTGTCAAATGCAAGACAACTGCCGAGCCTTTGGCATGTGCCCCTGCCTTCCCCCTGCCCCTGCAGAGTTAGCTATGGCACCACGCTCCTCTCCAGGCTCTTGGGATGGTACAGAAGCATTTGTGTGGCACAAGATGCCAGCTTGATGGCCATGCTGTTTGTCCATAAGCCAGCCTCTGGGGGACAGGCGTATGACAGTTGCTCTGAGCCCTCCCTGGTCAAGCCCTGGTAATTTAGGTGGCTAGAGAGTTCCATCTTCAGGAACCCAGGCAGGCTGGCCTCACTCTGCCTGCGGGTTCTTTTGACTCCTGTTGGTCGCCTCCTGTCTGTCTCCAATCTCTCACTGATGATGCCTGCCAGTTCTGATGCCAGTTGCCTTTCCCAGCCTCTGTCGCTCCTGGTCTGCACTAACCCTCTGCATGGTGACCTACCCTGAGCTGGGCCAGGCCTGCATCCAGACGCCAGCTCTGCCCAGCGACTGCACAGGCAGAGGCTGCGGCTCCCTCCATCCTGAGTTCTCCTGCCAACTAGCAGGACCTTCAAGGTAGCCTGTCCTACAGAAGAGCTTGGGAGTCATGGAGTTGAACCCCAACTGCTACCGTGATTGAGGTTTCTAAACTGGAAATTGTGTTAAATTTGAGGCTTGATTTATGGAGAATTGAGTTTTTGACCTCAGTGAGTCTGCCTGATATGCCTCTCAGATGAATTTTTCTTTGGTTTCTCAAGTGTCACTTTTAAACTCTTAGATCTTTTATCTTTATTTCTATATTGAGCGTAATTCTATTTTCTGCTAGACTTAATTGCATACAGATTACATATAGGAAAGCCACTATTGTTTTATCATCTTTCATGTGAGTGAAACCATGTAGTTATTTTCACCCATTTAATTAAGTATGTACCGAGCCTCAGTCCCCTCTCAGAGTGCGCGGCTCGCAGCTAAGGCAGACCTTAGACGAACCTCCAGTGAAGCGCTTTTGTGAGAAGCATCACAAAGGTGAAGCGTGTGTTGCAGGGGGACCTCATGCAGCAGGGGTGGGGGGGGCATGTAGGGAGCCCCCGAGAGACCTGGAGGACAGAGCACCTGCATTGAGGCAGAGGAGAAAGAGGAGGAACCAGCAAGCGGGGGCTGCAGTGTGGAGAATGCGCTGGTGACCGAGTGAGGGCTGGCAGGTGGGATGACCAGGCAGCGAGGAGGGAGAGCTGGCGTGCAGAGAGGACCCTGGGGTCAGGGGGAGCCTGCTACTCCCAGACGCTTGCATCTGTGAGCCGTGGAAGAGTTCTCCAGGCCCAGGGGTTCTCCCGTTTTCTTTGGACCAGACAGCCAGTATTCTGCACAGAATGATCAACGGCTACAGTTCTTACTGACCTCGTTGGTCTGTGTTCACAGGTCTTCTTTGTGACAACCTGATTTTTCTTAACAGAACTTTACTCTTGAAGTGTGTTCTCTCAATTCGCATCACTGCCCTAAGGGACAGAACCTTCCTTGGCCCAGGGCTTCCTGTGGCTGGATACAGGTGGGGGGCGTCTCTCCTGGGGGCAGGGGTGCCTGAGGTCCATCCTCCCCACGCAGGTGTCTGATAGCTCCGCGGCGGTCGTGCCGGCCCAGTACATCTGTGCCCCCGACAGCAAGCACACGTTCCTGGCGGCCCCGGCCCAGCTCCTACTGGAGAAGTTCCTCCAGCACCACAGCCAGCGCTTCTTCCCACTCTCCCTGAAGAACCACAGCCACCCCGTGCTGTCCGTGGACTGCTACCTTAACCTGGGGTCTCAGGTAACTCGGGAGAGGAACCCCTAGAGCAGGTGGATTAGCATCCAGGACTCTGAACCATGACCACAGGCACCTCGGTTTCCATGGGGATTTGCTCCAGGAACCCGTGGGTACCAAGATCTGCAGACACTCACGTCCTTTCTGTGACATTGCATGTAACCTATGCATATCCTCTTGTACCCTTCTAGGTGACTTGTCATACCTAATGCATTGTAAGTGCTGTGTGCTTAGTTGTTACACTGCATAGTTTAGGGCATAATAACCAGGAAGGAAGTCTGAATGTGTTCTGCACAGACACAAAGTTTTCCTCCAAGTATTTTCCATCAGTTGTCTGTTGACTCTGTAGACACCGATGCAACCTCAGGTACTTAGGGCTAATTGTACTCAGTGCTTGGTCGTAGGTATTTACCCCACTTGAGAGCTGACAGAATTGTGGGGGTTAGTTTGCCCACATAGATGTTAGAAATCAAACCTAATTCTGATGTCAAGACATTTCTGATTCTTAAAGGAACTCACGAATAGACAAATCTGGATAAATCTCCTACAACTGAGTTTTAGCATATAGATTTGGAAATACCCTGAATCTGTTCCTTGCCTCCCTCCCATGGCCAGCTGGTCCAAGCAGGTGGAATTGGTTAGAGCTCAGTCCCTGGCGCAGCGATGTGGAGTGCTCGTGGAAAGCGATGTTTCTCTTGGACTGCTTCTCTTGCAGATCTCTGTCTGCTACGTGAGCTCCAGGCCCCACTCTCTGAACATCAGCTGCTCGGACCTCACGTTCAGTGGGCTGCTGCTGTACCTCTGTGACTCTTTTGTGGCAGCTAGCTTTTTGAAAAAGTTTCATTTTCTGAAAGGTAATACTCCTATCTTGGGATTAACTTGAATGGCTGTTGTCACCTGGTGTCACTGAAGACAGGACCTCTTGTCCTAGTCCTTATTTTCCAATGGGTAAACTGAGGCTGGGGGAGGGACAGTGACTACCCCAACCATCAGGAGAGCATTAGAGCTGGGATTGGACCGGGGGCCAGCAGAGACAAGACCCCTCCCCTTGCCTCTGGGTGAGGGGCCCATATTCTTTCCCTTCTGTATTCTTTTTGTACACACGTGCTTTACACCAGCACCAGGTCTCCAGTGGCTTCCACCTGCAGGGGGTGTCCTGCAGGCTCCTCTTCCTCTTTCTCCTTTTCCTGCTAGAGTGGTGGAGACTGACAAACACCTGCTCTCTGTGCCCTTACAACATGATTTCCAGTCCTCTTCAGATCCCCAGTTGACCTTGCCGTACCCTTGGCTATCCTTCCTCTCTGGCAGGCATTTACTGAGCAGCAGCAGGGTACAAGACCTTAGGACTAGTGCCCGGTTCCCACCACCCTCCCTGCCCTCAGGAGGAGCTTCCTCTAAAGGGAGGATGGGTATGTAGGCTGGAAAGAAAGAACAAGAATACCAACAAAACCTGATCCTGATCAGGTGGCTGTCCTCTGGGAGCTGAGGGGAGGGAGAAGCTCCATGGCTGGGGGTGTTGGGAAAGGTGAAGCTGCCCCGGGCCTGGATGAGTGGGCACTGAGGGACAACCGGGAAGGGGGCCCAAGGGCAACCAAGGAAGCCAACCAAGGGGCCTGAATTGGCTCAGACCCTTCTCTCCTTCCTGTCTCTCTCGCTCCCTTCGCCTCCTGTGCCCTGCTTTTCACCTTTTCTTCTGCCTTTCTGTCTTCCCACCAAACCTGCCAACTCCTAGTTGCACCATCTTGCTGTGGTTATACATTGTTTGGAAAGGAACAGGAGACCCACATGGGCGTTGGGCACTTCCTGCCCAGCAGCCTCCTATTTGGTCATTGCAGATGGACTGGAGGCAGGTGGGATGCAGGCAGGTAGGACCTAGGCAAGTGGGATCCAGGCAGGTGGGACCCAGGCAGGTGGGACCCAGGCAGGTGGGATCCAGGCAGGTGGGATCCAGGCAGGTGGAACCCAGACAGGTGAGATCCAGGCAGGTGAAACCCAGGCAGGTGAGATCCAGGCAGGTGGAACCCAGGCAGGTGGGAT